TAGCGAACCAGGCGGCCCGCATGGAATCAGGGAGATGTCCTGGCCGGGCGCCCCTGTGCCCACGGGGCCCATAGCGGCTGCCTGGGTCGCCATGGTGATTGTTACGCCACTGCAAGAAGGGTATCCTGTGCTCCCTCATCTTCCTACCTTTATTTTCCATGCACGTGCAAAATAAAACTACTTAAAATATATTCCAAGTGATTGAAGCTCATTACTCTTATCCGCTACTGAGCAGAGTTGTAAGTACAGAAGAACATGCCCAATTTCCATACAGCCTTTTCCAACATAACATATTTCCGTATAAGGTTACAATAGATGAAATGGCTACAGACAGAGAAATCTGAGGTATGTGCTTGTTAGGCAAAACAATAGCATAAATACAAGGGATGCACAGATACTTTTCGAGTACCAGTGACGATACTTGGCATTTTCATGGGAACTACCAGGGCTGCAGTGGTTGCAGTTGGGACCTGGTTCTGGCGCTCCACCTCTGTCCTGAAATCATTAGTCTGTATTGTTTTAGAAAAACTGTCACATGACAATAAACAAAAATGTATCAGTACTCGTACTTGTAAGTACTCAGCAAGTACCAGTACTCGTACTCGCAAAACTGGTATCTGTGCATCCCTTTATTTATATTTATAAAAACAAAATTGTACATTAAAACAGAGATGTACAAATCCCAGGAGCTCCGTGTGCTCCTTACACATGACAGCTGCCTTCTAATTTTTGAATTTTTCTCTAGTGTAGTCTTGGAGTTCAAAAGTATCGGTGCATGTACTCGTACTTGTACCGAGTACTGTACTTGGTATCTGTGCAACCCTAATACATACTAACAGCAGGTGCACAGGACCAAAATGGGGAGGAAAGAATCAGGGAAGAGGGTAAGCAGCAGGCTGCCAACATTTCCCCGTGAAATAGTTTAATAAACCTTTATTGAAACCAGGAGGTAGAAAATGTTCCAAACAGGGCTGCCAAATAAAAAAATGTTTGTCCATTGCATCCGACGGCCTCGTCTCCATCTTTTCATAGATCATCGTCTGTGTGACTCTGGACCTAGTCTCCACTACAGAAAGATTGGTGAATTTAGAATCCTTGACAATGGTTTGCTTTGCAGCCATGAGAATGAAAATCATCAATTTGAATTGGGGCTTGTAAATATTTGGGGATTTCGGGTTCAGTAGAGCATAGCCTGCTTGCAAGGGCACAGGAACATCCAACAGTGTACTGAGCATGTGGAAAATTGTGGTCCAGAACTCCTGGGCAATCGAGCAAGTCCACCAGAAGTGGCAAACAGTCCTCGACTGAGCAGATTCTCTGAAACAGAATGGGGACTATTTAGGCTCATATAAGGCTATCCTAACTGGCACCAACTACCAGCAAGTTAGAACTTCTGGTTCCACGTTTAAATCTGTATGCCATTTTTCCTTCATGCTGCTGCTGTTCAAAGGGGTGAGAAGGAGCAGGTCATCTGGAAATTTTACACTTGAGGCAAGGAAGTGTTTAACCACCTCCGGGCCGGCCGTAGTAAAAAAACGTCCGGCCGGAGCTCTCTAGATCTGAGCGGGCGTCTTTAGACGTCCGCTCAGACACGCCCCCTCCCGCCATTGTCCCGCTGATTCCGGGCTCCGCTGTGCCCGGTGCGAGCCCGGGATCAGCATGGTGCCTGTGTCACAGGGGATCAGAGGGAGATCGTTACACGAGCTCCCTCCGGTCCCCTCTCCTCTGAAAGAATGCGGAAGTGTTGTATAATACATCACTTCCGCATTCTTGTGTCACTCTCCAGCTTCAGAAGCTGCAAAGAAGCTGATGGAGCAGATCTGTGCTTCATCAGCTTCTTTTGGGGAGTCCTAGGTGACATTAGGGGTCTTGGAGACCCCTGATGTCTCCATAAAGAGGACCTGTCACATATTTTGCTATCACATAGGGGGGTTTTATTAGCCCCTGTATGTGATAGCAATAAAGTTTAAAAAAAATTAAAGTCCCCCCCAAAAATTTTTTGTAAGTTACACATAAAAAAGAATTTAAAAAAACATAAAAATGTTTTAAAAGTCCCCACCCATACATACACGCATGCAAACATGCGTCGGGGGCGCATACGTGCAAAAAAGACGATTGCGCCCATTACGCCGCACATGTTACATATCGCCGCACACGGCGGAGTGAGAGCAATAAGTCTAGGGCCATCAATCACTGATAACACTAAACTGATGAGCAGTAAAAGCTTTTAAAGCGTCGCCTATGGCCAATTTTGGGTATGGTAGTTTCCTGCGATGTCGCAGGTGCGCGCAATTTTAAAGCTTGACATGTTTGGTGTCTATGTAACCGACGTGACCCTAACTTTTATGTTTTACCAAAAAACTGGGTAATAATAAGTGTTTCCTAACATAATGTAAAAAAAACTTTTTTTTTTTCAAAATTTTCAGTAATTTTTCCTAATTATAATAAAAAATAAAACCCCCAGTGGTGATTAAATACCACCAAAATAAAGCTCTATCTGTCCCCAAAAAATGGTGTAAAATTCATTTCAGTACAGCGTTGCATGACGGAATAAACGTCAGTCAAAGTATCGCAGCGCTGAATACTGAAAAATGGCCTGGCCAGGAAGGGGGTCTAAACACCTGGTCTTGCCTGGTCTTGAAGTGGTTAAATTGGAGGTACCAAAAAGTTTAATTATTGGACAGATCTAATTCACTCTGCAGATTTGGGAAGGGTTGGATACTGTCTTTAGTAAGTAGTTTATAGGTCCTAATGACTCATTAAGGTAAGCCAAACTTTTTTTTAATGATTTCTCTTTTGGGTCAGCGACAGCGCAGATCCGCACTGTAGCTGTGAGGAATCCCCACAATATCGTCAGGATCCACCTTGCTGCCTGATTGACTGCTAGAGCCAGAGCCAACTGGGCCCACCCCTTACCCTATCTGTAATTCCAGTGAGTACTGGAAGAACAGAGGGAGGAGAGGGAATCCTTGCAGGGAGCGGTGACTGATGTGATCTTATGTTGTGTGATACTAAGGTATTTGGACCAACAGGGTTCCCTGGTAATACCTGATAAGTTTTGGCACACCCAGGCCACCCGAAAGCTTATGACGTATAAGGATAGTTTGATTACGTCTAGTTCTACATGTGTTCCAGATAAAGTGAAGGACTTGCCAATGCGGATCCGATCAGCAGGGATCTCCAGTGACATCATTTACCATATATGGACTTTCCCATTTGTCGTAAATGCTGAAGAGACATACCAAATTGCCAAAAGCGAACATATATGCGGCTGACAAAATGTGCAACCCGTTTCATTCCTTCCAATTGTCGTTGAGGAATATTCAACTGTTTAGTGAAGAGGACAATTTTAAGTTCATATATTGCCTTTGTCATCCACCTTGCTTGATGCAGTGCCCCTGGGATCCTGAAACTGAAGTAGAAATTTCACTAGTTTGTGATAAAAGTGATCAATGTGTGCAACCCCTAAATATTATCCAATCTTCTTGAAATTTGGCATATATATCTTTTACATCACTGAGACTCGGGGCGTAAGCAAAGTCATATGAAAATCACATCTTTGGAAAAATGAAACACCGTATTGCACATTGCTGCAGCTGGTCATTATTTACACATAGTGTTTCCTCCTAGCGCAACTTTTTGTTCTCTTGAAATCAGCAATGCTAGCTTTTTTTCTGACAAAAAAAATTAAGTATTTTGGGGGTACTACTTCTGCCAGTCAAGTCACCTAAAAAAGCAATTTTTTTAACTAATGTGAATCAAATAAAAATAGATTTGGGGAGGTGCTGCTGTCTGCAATTCCTCAGCCAAAAATACACTGCCAAAGTACACTTTGACAGAAAATGTACCGAAAACCACACTGATTCCGAAAATACAAAGTACAGCTTTAAAACATCCCCTCAAACTTGTTATTTGAAAGATTTGTGTATTTTCCATATTCCCTTTGAAGTTGCATTAAAAAAATCCTATGCCTGGAGTTTTCTTTTTTAAATGTCTCCCATGGCATAGTCAAGCCCCCCATCCCTATTTGACAATAGCATATTATTGTTAAAAACGGCCACAATTTAGTAATAAGATTCATCCCCTCCCCAGACTTCAACAAGGTTAAGTGCTAAGTTTGGGTTTTGCTGATTTCAAGCAGGATTCGATGAACTCCAGCAGAGGAGGACCTGGGGGAGAACTTCAGGTCCACTTCTGCTGATTGACAATGGCAGGGGGCGGGTGCAATAGCCAGCCTGCGATTGCAAATTAAAATAGCCAATAGCAATATAGCAATTCAGCTATTCATTTCTAGGAGATTCGTGACAACCCCCATGTGATAGCAATAAAGTTATGTAAAAAAAAAAGTTAAGTTAAATAAAATAAATGTAAAGACGCCCCCAAAAATGTTTTAAAAGTCCCCATCTCCACGTACACGCCCATAATAAGGCAAGCATGTGTCGAGTGTGCCTATGTACAAAAATGACGATTGCACCACACATGTTAGGTACCAGATGTGTTAGGTGCCACGTACGCCAGTGTGAGAACAATAATTCTAGGGCCAATATTCATGGTTAACTCAAAACCTTTTAAAGCATTCCCATTCGGACAATTTATGGCACTGTATTTCTTTGCTATTTCACAGGCGCATGCAATTTTTAAGCTTGGCATGTTGGCTATCTATTTACTCAGCACAACCTCCTCTTTTATATTTTACAAAAATAAATGGGTGATTTATTGTGTTTTGTTGCTGAAATTTTGAGTTTAATATAAAGTTGCACTAATATAATGCAACATAAACATTTGCAATTGCCACCATTTTATTCTATAGTGTCTCTGCTTTCAGGAAATATATAATTCTCTGGGGTTTAAGTAATTTTCAAGCCTAAAATGTTGATTATAACGTTTGTGCAAAAACAGCTCTGGCAGCATAAGGGTTAAAGGGAAGCTCGCTCTCTCCTCCTCCCAGCCCCACCCCTCCAAGCTCCGTCTGCCTGTCTTCCGGTCGGCTCTATGGGCGGTGACGTCACGGCCAGAGTGCTGACTGTCTTCCGGTTAGCAGAAGCTGTGTGGATGTCCCGTGCTCGGTGATCTGACAAGATGAGTACAATGTTTGCGGACACGGTGCTGATCGTCTTCATCTCTGTGTGCACCGCGCTCCTGGCTGAGGGTGAGTGGCCTGCACGGACAGAATGTAAAGATGGAGCTCGCCGGCATTCTATTATCTCTGCAGGGTGATGTGACAGATCATGAATCCCCCTTTGAACAGAGGTTGCTGCCACATCACATCTTATGTCAGCTGTAGGAACATGACTGATTTGATGTCTCCATGATGCTGACTTGTCCTCCCCCCCTCTCCACTGGTGTCCTGCCCTCCCCCATGCTGGCTGGACAGGTGCTGGCTCTTTCATTACACAGTTCAGATTTATGTTCCTCTGCCCATATTATTATTACAGGCATTATAGAGCACCATCCGTGTTTTACATAGCGTACATTCACTGCAGTCCCTGAACTTAAAGAGGATTTTCAAAAGGTAACCCTTGCCATGGAGCTACCCTCTGCATTGCAAGGGTTAACTGCTTATTTGGGTCTAAGGGGAGCACATAAAGAAAATATACTTACCTGATCCTCGATTTCGCCTCAGGGTGTGTTTCGGGCCCCCCCCCCCCCCGGCTCTGACGGGCAAGCCCTACTGATGCGAGGTCCGATGACTTGCATTAGATATGAGGTTGCAGAGAGACACCACAGCCAGAACAGAGGGGGAGAGAGGTGGGCGGTCACCGCTGAAGGATTGTGAGTGCATCTTCTGTTCACCAGACCAAGACGATAAGTTAAAGTGGCATTAATAACATATATCTACTCCTAGCAAGCACTAGATAGATGCAAAAACTTTGAAAAAATAAAATGTTAGTATAGTGCAGAGGCTTCTTTGGGGCAGATTTCAGCTCGTAT